AAAAAAAAAAAACGTGCCAGGGGCCCGGGATTTAGCTCAGTGCTTCCACCGCTTCCCTCCCAAGCGCAAGGTCCCGAGTTTGATCCCCCGTACAAAAAGAAAAAAAAAATAAGGGCCGGGTATGTAGCTCAGTGACGCTGTGCCTGCCTGACAAGCCGCAGATCTTGAGTTGGATCCCCAGGACAAAAACAAAGCAAAACAAAAAAACCCAACAAAAGATGTGTTTGCCAACCTAGAAGCTCTGAACCCTGTTGTGTAGAGATTTTTACGGAGGTTTCATTATGTAAGCATGATCGATTAAATCATTGGCCCATTGATAATTAACACCTCACCGGCCCCCCCACCTTCTCCCCTTCCCTGAGGTCAGAGGGGGCTGGGGTTGAAGGTTCCAGCCCTCGGATAAAGACAAAAACAAAACAGAGGTGCTGCAGCTAAATTAATATCAGACGACCTTAGGGCAAAAAATAAATATATATTACTAGAGATAGAAGAGGGTTAAAACCTATACAATAAAGGTTCCATCCACCAAGTTTAGGAGGAGAGACTTAAACCAAGACTTAAGGAAGTTCTAAATCACCCTGCCGGCAAAAATTGCCTTAGAATTTAAAGGCTTTTGGCATTCATTTGCTAAACACCGAGCTTCCCTCAGGTCTGACAGGGAGGAAGGTAAGGCAGGGGTGACCACCACCCTCTCACACCTCAGGAGCCTTAGGATTTGCCTTAGGACTTGCCTGAGGTCACCCAGCCACAGAAAGGTTTCCATGGCAAATCTCCAAATTCCTGAAGTGTACGGACCACGAGGGGTGAACACGGTGTGTTCCCAATCCGAGGGTCCTGAGGCCGGGAGACTGCGCAGTGAGTTTGCTCCGAGCCACCTGCCTTAAAACCAGACGCCAGACGCGCAGGGCCTGGTGCGGAGGACGGTGCACTTACCACTCAAGACCCCTCTGCGCGCGCTCGGGTACTGGGCAGGACGCCAGCCCAAGCTCCAGCCTAGCACTCCCGTGCCGGGGGCGTGGCCTGAGGGGCGTGGCCTGAGGGACAGGCCCGGTGGGCGGGAGGCCCGGTGGGCGGGAGGCCCGGTGGGCGGGAGGCCCGGTGGGCGGGAGGCCCGGTGGGCGGGGCCCGGGACCACAGGTGGGCGGGGCCCGGACCACAGGTGGTCCCGGGTCTTGTGCGTGGGTCGTTAGCGGTCAGCTGTCGAGCTTCCCTCCAGGCTCAGCCTCACCTGGGAAGTAGACTTAAGCGCGTGAAGGCAGGTCCAGAAGGGAGGCCCAGGAGGGCGGGAAACAACCGCAATCTGTTTTGAGGGAAAGGGGACCCCGGGTGTCCTCCAGTGGACCGGGAGGGTGGAGAGGAGGAGGGTGTGGGTGGGAGTTGAGCTGCCTCCGCTCAACTTTGCCAGGAGGTGGGAGGGGGTGCCCTGGTTTGGGTCCTCAGCAGCGGTGGACCAGCTTTGGGTCCTGACAGTGGGGTACTGAGTCTTGGGGTCACCCCGAACTCCAGATGACAGGACGCCTGCTAAAGGCTGCGTGATGCATTGTGATGTTTGAGGTGGGACTCAAAGCAGGAGGAGAGGGAACAGAGTTCCAGGTGGAGGCAGAGCAAGTGCAAAGGCCCTGGGGTGGGAGATGTGTCGAGACTTGGAGACACAGCCGGGATCCTGGGTGTTTGGAGCAGAGTAAGGAGGGGGAGAGTGAGTAAGATCTGAATGAGGTCATTCAGGAAACAGAGCCAGATCACAGGCAGGACCAACAAACAGGTATCTGTGGCAACTGTTCAACTCTGGCATTGGAGTTTGAAACAAACAGATATGCAGAGTCCGGGTGGCTCTAGAGTTTTCTCTGAGCCACCTGAAGGAAAGGCTGGAGCTGCCATTCATGGAGCAGGGGGCCACCCAGCTGGGAGCAAGCTGGTTTTCGAGGCATCCAGGAGTTCAGTGTTGGAGCCACTAATGCTGAGATGCACACTGGGCATCCAGCTGGCCGTGTGGAGGAGGTGCTGGGTCTGCCCTGGGTTGGTCTGAAGTCAGTGGAGAGGTCTGGCGTAGGAGGGGCAGTATCAGGACTGTCTGTGGCTGGAAGCCCCTGGGGGAGAGGCCTGGAGGCTTGGGGGACTCCCCGGGGATGGCGATGTCACCAAGAATCGGGACTGGTGTGTGCTGCACAAAGTGATGGTGAGCCGAGGACTGAGCTCTGAAATTCAGATCGTGGGGTGGGACCTAGACATTTCCATGCCTGGGCCACCCTCCCCGGGGCTCCAGCAGAGAGAGCTGCAGGGTCTGGAGTAGGGGTCAGAAGGCACAGGCTGGAGGCCACCAAGATCACAGTGGAAATGGGAAGAGATGTTGGCAGCCAGGAGTGCTGCTGAAGGAGGGCAGGTATAGCCCAGAGCCCTGTCCTCTCCCCACAGAGACCGTTTGATTATTATTTTTATTTTTCAGAGCTGGGGATGGAACCAGGGCCCTGTGCGTGCCAGGCAAGCACTCACAACTGAGCCCCACACCAGCCCTGCCCTGCTGATTGACCGGGTTGAACTACCCAGGATGCAGCTGCCCCCAAACCCATGGAGCCGAGGCCTGTCACCAGCCACAAGGAGAATGTGTCCCCGAGGCCTGTGGCTCCCCTGAGGCCAGGCAAGAGCCCCAGTGGGCCTGAGTGGGCGGGTGTGTGAGTAGGATCCCTCTCCTTATGGGCCTCCCGAATTCTAGAGTTTGGCTTCCCAGGGCACAAGACAAGTCTTAGGGAGGGGAGTCAGTTCCATGTCCCAGCGAGGGGTCAGGAAGAGGCTGGACAGGGCATGCGTGTGGGCCTGGCTGTGGTGCTGGCTGAAGCAGGTTCCACAGCCCAGTCTGTGGCAGGGGTGGCGGGCTGGGGACCCACCTTCTCCGGCTCCTGGGTCTGTAAGAAGGCCACAGAGCTGCCAGTGCAGCCCAGCACAAGAGAAGCCTGAGGACAAATTCAGATTCATGTCCAGTTTCTTTGTATTCTGGCTGTGTGACCATGGGACAAGTTGCCCAGCCTCTCTGAGCTTTAGTTTGTATCCACAAAGGCAGTCACTTTTTGGCCCTCTCTACCTGCCAGGCCCTGGAGCTCATCAACCCCTGCAAGCTCTCTTTGTGCCATGAGGGGCCTGGGGGGACCAGGGAGGGGCCCCAAGCCCCACGTCCACATCCAAGCCAGGAGTCAAAGAGTGACCCTTGGGCTGGAGATTTAGCTCAGTGGTTCTGCTGCCCACCTCAAAAGCACAAGGTCCTGAGTTCCATCCCCGGTACCAAAAGAAAAAAAAAGAGTGACCCTTGATTCTTTGCCTTCCTTTGCTCCTCTTCCCCCTCCTTCTTATATTTTTGCAGTACCAGGGATTGAACCCAGGGCCTTTGCACTGAGCCACATTCCCATCCCTTTTTAAAATTCTGCTGGAAAGGGCCGGGGATTTAGTTCAGCAATTCAGCTGTCTGCCTCATAAGCACAAGGTCCTGAGTTTGATCCCTGGTACCAAAAATAAATAAATAAAATTCTGCTGGGAGTGGTGGCGCTTCGCCTCGAGTTTGAGTTCAGCCTGGGCTACATAGTGAGTTCAGGGCCAGCCTGAACTGCAAAAGGGAGAACTCGCCTCAAAAAATTTAAAAAAAAAAATTTTATTTTTGAATTCTGAGACAGGACCTCACTAAATTGCTAAATTTCCCGGGCTGTGCTCAAACTTGTGACCCTCCTGCCTCAGCCTCCCTGAGTGTTGGGATTACAGGTGCCCCCTCTTCTAAACCTCTTGGCTCCCCTCCCAGCTCATCTAAATCCTCCGGTACCCAGCCCTGACCCAGCCACTGCTGTCAGCTTCACTGTTGTCCCCCGTGGCTTCTACCTCCCTCCCCCATCGCGCTCCAGGCAGTCAGGCCTGTGTCAGACTCAGGCCCTTGTTGCTGAAGTCCTGGCTCCTTCCGCCCTGGGACACAGTCCCTGCCCAGCTCTGAGGCCTGGGCACCCCCTGTCCCACCTGACCGCTGACCACCCCAGTCCTCCCCAGCCCACAACTGTCTCTCCTCTTGTAGAGCAACGGAGATTCCTGAGGACCCTGGGTGTCAGCCTGGGCAGTGGCCATGGCCCGTGGGTGCCCTTGTGCCGGGCTGCAAGGGGAGAACCCGCCGACACCTGCTCCCCAAGGGCAACACTATGCCAGGAGCCCAGCCAGGTCCAGACCAACCTCACCAGCCCTCGTTCCCACCCAGCCCTGAAGGACACGCTGGGCCGGCTGGTGAATTCCAGCTTCCCACAACAGAGCAACCTGCAGCCCTGCGCCCAGAAGGCCCTGGGACAGGAGCCTGCGGCCCAGCAGAGTAACCTGTGTCTGAGCCTGGCCACCAGCCCCCCACCCCAGGGCAGCCTCGGGGCGCTGGCCCCCTGCCTGTGGCCGGCACCCCCAGCCACAGAGCCCAGGCCCACTGCAGGCTTTGCCCCTCCCCATGGGTGCACATGGCCAGGCCCCCGATTCTGGGGTGGCCTGGGGAGCTGGACCTCTAGGCTCACAGGGGAGCCCCTCACCCTGGAGGACCTGGCTGTCCCTGCCCAGAGACAAGCTTGGGACCCATCCCATGCTCCCACCCACCAGCTGCTGGCCTCTATGCGGCACCTGGAGAAACAGGCAGCCTGTCCCAGGGGCCGGGTATCCCGGGAGTCCCCAAGTCCTGCACAGCGGGGCCCCTGCCCTGGCTCTGGCCAAGTCCTTCCTGCCCGGCCCCAGCCCAGTTGGCCTGTTCTTGCTTCCTGGGATGAGAGGAGAAGACACCCCAGAGGTCACAGGGAAACTGCAGATCTCTGGGTGACTCACGCTGGTCACTCAGATTCTCAGGCACCCAGCAAGCCAGTGTCACCCAAGACCACTTTGGGGATGCGGACTGGGCCTCCTCATGACTCCAAGCAGGCAATCCTTCCTGCCCAGCCTCTCAGGTCGGGAGATGAGAGACCCCCAGGGCCTACACATGGCAGTGGGGACAGGGGGGACCCTGCTGGCTCTCCACGCTTCTCCAGCACAGCCACAGCCGGGAGCTTCCTACCTGGGTGGAAGGAGAAGTGCGCACCCCGAGGGAGCTGGGAGGGAGGACAGCTTCCTGAGCCCCAGATCTAGTCCTGGTGAAGAGGCCCCAATGCCAGGTAGAGCCCAGGGAGGCTGGGTGAGGAGGGGCTCTCAGCAGGGCTCCCCCACCTTTGGCCTGAGGGCTGTGTGGCGTCCTCTTGCTTCCCCAGAACAAGGCCCAAGACAGTGTGGCTCCAGAAGAGACCCCTGCAGCCCGGTGAGGCCATGGCTGGGTGCGGTGGGGTGGGGTCACAGGGAATGGTAAACGCAGGCTGCTGGACTCGTGGAGTCAAAAGAGGTGTTCTGCACCCCCAGCTTTGTCACCTGTCCCAGCCAGAGGGAGGCTCTGCCAGGCTGCAGTGGGGACTTGGAGTTACCCCTCGGGATGGCTGGAAAGGCCACAGGGCGGTGGCAGCTGCAGCTGCTCCCTAGGGTGGGAGGCCTGGGTCTGCCCCTGACTAGCCCCGGTCCGTCCCCAGCCAGCAGCTGCTGTCCAGATGTTTCAGAGCCTGGAAACATGTGTTGTGCAGGCAGTGGGTGGCGGTGGTGGCCATGGCTCTGAGCCACAGCCAGCTGTTGCAAGAGGGCTTCCGGGAGCGGCAGTGGACCCTGTGGCTCCAGGAGGCCCAGCTGGAGGTGGCGTGGAGGCGACATTGGAAGGCCCTGCTGGCCCAGAGCTTCCGAGAGGTCAGCCCAGTAGGAGGTGATGGAGCTGGAGTGTGTCGGGGGGGGGACCCCATGATTACTGATCAACAGTAGAACATGCAGTTAAGAGTCCAGGCCTGAGGATTTAGCCCAGTGGTTTCGCTGCCTACTGCACAAGTGCAAGGACCTGAGTTCAATCCCCGGTACCAAGAACAAACAAACAAAAGAGTCCAGACTCCAGAACCCCCTTGGCCTGAATTCGAATCCTACCTCTGCCAAAGTGGCAAGGCTGTACGACCTTGGGCAAGTTAATTGTCCTCTCTGTGCCTGAATCTCTTAATCTCTAAAATGAAATAGTAATAGTATATACCTCGTAGGGTTGTTGTGAGATTAAATTAATAAAAGACTCAGATCCCTGCCCAGCGCATAGCAAGCACTCTACCACATAAGTGGTTGCTATTTTTGCTGGGCATGGTGATGCACGCCTGGAATCCTAGCACTTGGGAAGCTGAGGCAGGAGGATTGCCCCAAGTTTGAAGCCAGCCTGGGCTATGTAGTGAGTTCAAGGCCAGCCTCAGCTACATAGCAAGACCCTGTCTCAAAAAACCTTAAAAAGAAAGAAACAAAGGAAAATACCAAAATTGGTTGCTATGTTTTATTAGTGGCTTGCCAGCCAGGACTGGAAGGGCACATGGGAAAGGCGTCCCCCTAAAGAAAACCCCACCTTTTGGGACCCATTTCCGTTCATTCACTCACTCATTCCAAGGGGGCAGGGTAGTCTAATGGTTAAGGCCAGAGCCACTGGAGTCCCATAGGAGGGTTAGGCTCTCTCAGGCCTTCTGATACTCCCTTGAGGGGCACATTCAAGGTGGCAGGTGACATTCCCCTCTTCTCCCTGACCAGTGGAGACTCCTGGCGCAGCAGCAGAAACAAGGGCAGCTCCGTATCCAGGCTGAGCTTGGACCTTGCACTTCCTGGGAGCCAAGGACCAAATCCCTGCTGGGGAAGAGCGGCAGCGGGGTGCCCCCCACCCCGGGCAGCAGGTAGGCTGGGTCCCCCAGTGTGACCAGGACAGCTGGTGCCTCCCTCCTTTGCTTCCTGTCTTGCTCCCCCCCTCCTCTGCAAGAGAATGAGGATGAGACGGGCGGGTGTAGACAAAGATGTGCACAAAACAATGTGCTGTGCAGCACAGTTTATCATGGCAAACACTGGAAACAGGGATCAAGTACAGCGCCGCCTGATGCCATGACCCGCTGGGCAGCCGTGCTGGGAGATGCTCCTAAAAACTTAAAATTCCTCCTCTCTCCTCTTTTTCCTCTACTTTTTTCTTTTCAATATCTTTATTGGTTTTATTTCCAGTCATAGCAGTCATGCATGCTTAATTTAAAAACATTCAAAGGGGCTGGGGATTTAGCTCAGTGATTCCAATACCTGCCTCACAAGCACAAGGACCGGAGTTCAATCCCCAGCACCAAAAACTAAAAATTTGGGCTGGGGATTTAGCTCAGTGGTTCCAGTGCCTGCCTCGCAAGCACAAGGTCCGAGTTCGATGCCTGGTACCAAAAAAACCCAAAACATTCAAGCCGGGCATGGTGGCACAAGCCTGTGATCCCAGGACTTGGGAGGCTGAGGCAGGAGGATGCCAAGTTCAAACCCAGTCCGGCCAATTCAGTGATGTAGACAAACCCTGTCTCAAAATAAAAATGAGCTAAGTAGCTCAGTGTGAAGGCCCCAGGCTCAATCCTCAGTACCATCAAATAAATAAGGAAAAAAATTTAAAATAGATGGAAGTATTAAATCTGAAACCTTCATTCCCCTGACTGTGGCCCCTGCATCTGTAAATGTTTTTATGGATATTTGCATAGGACTTTTTAAATGTTAAATGAAACAATAAAGAGGATAAAAAATAGGGCCAGGGATTTAGCTCAGTGGTTTCACCACCTGCTGCGTGAGCGCAAGGACCTGAGATTGATAAAAAAAAAAAAAAAAAAAAAGAGAATAAAAAATAACATCTAAAATATTTTTCCCAACTATGTGAAATAATACAGATGATAATGAATAGAGTGAAAAAAACAACTAAATGCGGCACAATGTGAATGTACTTAATGCTACTGAACTGAACACTGAAAATGGGTAAAATGGTAATTTTCCTGTTATGCGTATTTTTGCCACAACTAAAGATTAAAAAATTAGGGCTGGGGGGCTGGGGCTTTAGCTCAGTGGTTCCACCACTTGCCTCGAAAGCACAAGGTCCTGAGTTTGACCCCCGGTACCAAAAAACAAATTTAAAAATTAATATTTGGGCTGGGGATTTAGCTTGGTGGCACTGTGCCTGCCTCGCAAGCGCAAGGTCCTGAGTTTGATTCTCTGGTACCCCCCCCCCCGAAAAAATGCTAAAATGAAAGTTGTGCTTATCTCTGGAGCAGTGGGATTCAAGTTGGTCATTTTCTTCATTTCCCTAATTTTCCACTACAGTGGTTTTGTTTTGTTTTCTTTTTTTTATGTTGATATATTTTGTTTTTCAATTCCATCCTTTTTTTTTTTTTGGTACCGGGGTTCAAACTCAGGTCCTTGTGCTTGTGTAGCAGGCGGCAAAACCACTGAGCTAAATCCCTGGCCCTCCATCCTTTTATATACATGTTTTTGGTAATTATAGTGAAGGTCCTGGTGAAAAGTAATCTGTTTAACATTTCATAATGTGTGCAAAAGTAAAAACATGGATTCAAAGAAAAGTAATTTTTACAACTATTCAGCCCCACCAAATGAAGACAAGCAGTTGGCCAACATCAGGACCTGCAAAGTTTTTTTTGTATTTTGTTTTTTTTTTTGGTACCAAGGATCGATGCAAAGTTATACTTAGCATAATGTTGCAATCAGAATATGGCCCAGAATAAACAATACAGGTAACAGTCTCACTGGCTAAACCTAGCCAGGTTTTGACTAATTTGGTTTAAATTGAAATTCAATTATACAAAAAGGTTTCTGAAAGTATTGAGAAAGAAAGTGTACATGAAGTAGTTTTCTTGCTCTTATTTTTAAATTGAAGAAATATATTTAAAATAGTTACTTAAATGATACTTATTTTAATACATATTTATTGTAAAGAATCTAAATAGAAGGCCAGGCATGGTGGCACAGACTGATAATCCCAACATTCAGGAGGCTAAGGCAGGAGAATCACCATGAATTTGAGGCCAGCCTGGGCTATATAGCTAGACCTTATCTCAAAAAAACCAGAAAAAATAAAAATAAAAAAAAGAAGCTATATAGAGCCAGATGTGGTGGTGCACACACCTATAATCCCAGCACTCTGGGAGGCCAAATTAGGAGGATCACAAGTTTTATCCTAGACTGGACAACTTAGTGAGGCAATGTTTCAAAATGAAAAAAGAAAAAAGAAGAAATAGGCTGGGGATGTAGTGCAGTGCAAAGGCCCAGGGTTCAATTCCCAATATGCCCTACCCCCAAAAATAACCTGACCAGGTGTCTGGAGGTGTAGGTCCCCCGTAGAGTACTTGCCTGTCACACACAAGACCCTGGGTTCCGTCTCCAGCACTGCAAAAAAATACAGTGAGAGAGAAAAAACCAAAGACAGAACCCTGCCCTCCAACAGCACCTATGATCAGGAACAAATGAACCTGGGAAGGGGGGCTCTACTGATACAGCCCCTGCCTCGGGTGGGGATGCACGGGTGGGCACTTGGTGCCCCCTCGGCCCGGGCAGCATCTGTCTCTGGGCCACTTCAGGGCAGGGAGCCAGAAGGAGGAGGAAGGAGCCTGGCCTCCTCCATCACAGCCTAGGCAGAGACTGTACAGTGGAGATGATGAAGACGGGAGAGTCCAGACCCTGCAGGTCCTGCAGCAGCTGGCAGGTGAGCCAGTGGGGTGCCGGGGACAGAGCCTGCCCAGGCAGGGTCTGAGGGCTGAGTGTTATTGAGTGTTTGCTGTGGCCACAAAGTATGGTGCCCATTTTACAGATGGTGAACTGAGGCTCAAAGCCCAGAGAGGTTAAGTGATCAGCTCAGGACGCACAGCATGAGAGGTGCACACCCTGCGTTTGGGTCCCTCTGACACTCACAGCAGCCCCTGTCAGAGGCAAGAATGTAGGATTACTCATCCCAGAGCCTGGCACCTGGGCAGGGGAGCCCCAGAGATGGAGCAAGCAGCAGCCCAGGTGTCCTGGTCCTGCCCAGGCTGGATCCTCCCTCTACTCGCTCTCAGTCCTCACTCCTCAGTCTTCCTTCTGTATTGCCAGAAGAAGGACCCGGCCAGGAAGGAGACGAGGCCCCTTGGGGAGCTCACTCAGAGGACACAAAGCACAGATGTGCCCCTCGCAGCCCCCCCAGTCCCAGAGAGACTGGGTGCACAGGTAGGGGAGGTGGATCAGCTCCACGGCTCTCTAGCATGGTGACAGGAAAGCACGGGGCAGGCTTCTGGGGCTCATCCTGCCTCCCACCTGCACCCCCACCCCAGAGGGACCCGGGGAGGGGGAGGCAGATGGGGAATCAGCTGCCACAGGGTGTGGACAGGCACCACCAGAGTCTGCCTCTTTGTATTTATTCATTATGTCGATGCAGCTGGTTTTGAACTGGGTGAGGGGCTGGGGGTGAAGGTGAGGATGGGAGTTGCGTGGTGCAGGTCACACAGGTGAGAGCTTCGACCTCACCCTAGGAGCTGGGGCCTCTCAGGAGGACTCAGCAGGAGGGTAAGCCGTAAGGCCTTTGGATCTGAGGCTGGAAAAGCGATGCTCTGTCTACTGAGTGGGAACTGACTCCAGGGACTGAGGCTGAAAGCGGCCATCCAGGCGCCCCGGGGGATGGCCTCAAGGTGGCCTGAGCAGGTGACAAGCCTGGTTCTCACAGCAACCCATTTTACTGAGGAGAAGCCAAGACTGAATGGCGCAGGGCTCACCCCGCCTGGAGATGATGCCTGGTCCTTGGCCGGGGCTGCCGCTGTGGGATGGACCCTCACCTTCTACTGTCCTAGGTGCTTCAGGACCTGGCAGCAGGTCGTGCAGAGGGGCCCAGTGCCAGGGCCACCTGGCTGAGTGTCCTGTGAGGATCCTGAGGAGGTGCCTGGGACAGTGGGTGCGTGCGGATGAGGCAACTCCGAGCCTCAGAGGAGGCGAAGGTGACCCAGCTGTCCCTCTGGCGGCAGAGGAGGGTGAGTGAGTGGTGGGTAGAGGGGTCTCTTTCCCTCTCAGCCCCACAAACCCTGCCCCCTGAGGTCCCTCTGCAGCGGGCCCAGAGGAAGCTTCAGTGGCACTGGGGGCCTTCCAGGCCACGGGGATCCCAGAGGGACGCTGGGGTGGGCAGACCTCAGCTGGGCCACATCCCCTTTCCCCTGGGGTATGGGGGGCTCTGCCCCACCTCCTCCCTGTGGGCTCCCCCAGCCCTGGGTTATCCCACTGCCTGGGGAAGATGGGGTCCTCCAGCCGCGCCCTGGAGGGAGGGGTTTGGACCATGTGGGAGGGGACCATGCCCAAGGGGGCCCCAGAGGCAGAGGGAGGTGTGGGGATGCGGCCGGCACATCTCTTGCTGCTTCTCAGGGGACCTGGCCCTCTGGAGCTCAGCCCACGACGTGGAGACAGTGGCCTGGGTGTCCCTGCATGGTGCCTGCTGGAGACTGGCCCTCCGCCGGGCCCTGCTGCTCTGGGGCACGCAGCTGTCTCAGGGCCAGCGGGCCAAGTAGGTGTCCAGGAGCTGGGGCCCAAGGTTGGGCTGGAGGCACAGAGTGGGGTTGAGAGTAGGGCTCTGCACCCAGAGGGGTCTCCACGGGGACCAGCCACGCCTCCTGTCCCTTGCTTGTGCCCAGCAGATGGCAGCTGGGAGGCGCCAGGGACACTGAGGCATTGAGCGAGCAGAGGGCCGCTGGGGCTCAGGGCTGCTGGGAACATGGACTGGGCTCCCCCCGGTGGCTGGAGCTCAGTGAACCATCCCAGCTCAGCTCCCCTGAGAGTGAGACCCCTGGCGGCAGGAGCCCCGTCTGTCTCCCCGGCACTGGCGGGCACCCGGCGTGCTGCAGGCACAGAAGTCCTGTAAGCGTGTAAGGGAAGGAGCCGGGGTGCAGAGCTCGCATCCCCTCTGCCCCTTCGCCTCATTACACCGCAGCCCCCCAGGCACACTGTGAATCAGGAGCAAGGAGGTCCCCCTAGCCAGGCGCAGTGCTGCACACCTGTAATCCCAGCACGCTGGGAGGCTGAGCTCAAAGCTTAACAAGACCCCATCTCAAAATAAAAGGGGCGCGGGATTTAGCTCAGTGGTTTCGCCGCCTGCTGCGCAAGCGCAAGGACCCGAGTTCCGATCCCTAGTACCAAAAAAAAAAAAAAGAAAAGAAAAGGGGGTCTGGGGACGTAGCTCAGCGTGAAGGGCCTGGGTTAATCCCCAGTACCACCGAGTGCAGAGAACCTTCAGGATGTCGCCCGCCCTGCCTCCCTCCCTTCTCTCCCTGCCACACCCCGGGCTCCTCCCCAGAACGCCCCTCCCGGGGGCCCAGGCTTCCTGTCTATGGCTGAGTGGAGGCAGACGTCCCGGGTGGTTGTTGAGTGTGGGCACTGGGGCCCAGCTCACCCTGATTGGCCCCCCTACGTCCGCCCTGCACCGCATCCCAGCCGGCCATTATGTCAGAGTCCTGGGAATGGGGGCAGCCGGGGGCGAGCGTGGGGCCCAGACTCACCCTCCCTCCGAAGGATGCTGGAGTCCCCAAGCTCCCGGACGCTGTCCTGGTGAGCGACCTGCGGGCTGCTGGACGGCAGCGGCAGGATCTGTGCCTTCTGCCCTGGCAGGCTCGCTCGGGATGCACCAGGGCAGCGCTGCAGCCTCTAGAGGCGGTGAGGACCCCACCCTGGTGCTGCACAGCCCTGCTTTCCTTTCCCCTTTTCCATCAAGCCTTGCCCTTCACAGCAGCAGACCCTTGGCGTCTGCATCCCAGGGGCTCCCCTCTCCCACCCTAGTCCTCTGGGGCCCCTCCTGTGGCGAGGGTAGGCATGGGGTAAAGTTCTCATTCCTCTCGGCCTAGGTCGGCTCCTGGAGTCCCACAGCACAGCGCTTGAGAGTGGCCTGCGGCCTGCCTGGGGTCGGAGGTTGGGCAGAGGCGGGCAGTTAGGCAGGGAGAGTCCTGGGAGGGGCTGGGGACGTCGAGGCAGGAGGACAGCACAGGCAAAGGGAGCGATGGGAAGGACCCGCTGGTGGCCGAGCACAGGACTCGGCAGTGGGAGTTGGGGGTCCCTTCCTAGCCCCACGATGGCCCCCTCCAGCCCCAGCACTCCCTCCTTGATGGAAATAGGGAACAGAGTCGCTGGGGCCCTCCCTGCTGCTGAGGGGTGGGGCAAGGCAGGCTGGGCTGGCCTGGCCTGGCCTGGGGCGGCAGTGACTGTCCTCAGGGTGGACACTCCCCTTCCCAGCATCCTCCTCACCTGGAGCCACTGGACGGCAGCCCAAGGGGCCTGGTGAGAGCTGGCCGCCCGCCAGGCCTGGGACCGGAGATGCAGGGCTGCCCTGGGCCTGTGGTGGCAGCGGTTGGCACAGCTGCAGGAGGTGGAGCGGTGGACTCAGGACCGGGGCCAGGGCTGGGCCCAGGATGCTCTGCACCACTGGGACACCTGCTGGCAGAGCGAGCCGGGGACCTGGCTGGGCACTGCAGGTGAGGTGGGGGCAGGGTGGGTCCCATCAGGCATCCCAGGGCAGGTGGCAGAGAAGGATCTGTGGGCTGGGACCCGCAGGCGTAGGTTCAAGGCCCTGCTCCTCCATCCTGGGCTGTGTGGGCCCCAAGCAAGCGGCTTAAGCTCTCAGAAATCATGGGTCTGGACTTGGAGGTGGACAGAGTTAGACAGGGAGGAAGGGGCTGGGGTGGGTGGCTCAGTGGCAGAGCTGCAGAGGGGGAAGTTCAGGCTCAGAAAGCGCAGGCCCAGGTGGTGGCGGGACTAAGGTTGCAGCTTATGGAGTGGAGGGAGGCAGGTTAGTGGGGGAGGGCGGGTGGTCTCCACACAGGCTGCCTGGGGTCCTGGCTCTGCACGGAAAGGAAGGAAGGGCTGTTTTCTCTCACTTGGTGTGAACCCAGTGACTTCAGGGTCACTCCCAGGAGCCTCTGACCCACTGCTGTGTGACAAGTGACACAAATACCTTGGAGTTTAGTTCGTTTATTTTTACGGTTTTGGGAGTGGGACCCAGGGCCTCGTGCATGTCAGGCAAGCGCTGTACCCCTGAGCTACACGCCAGCCTTGATTGCCAGTTTTAAACCACAAACGTTTGGTGACTCAGTGTCCCTGGGCCAGGAGGCTGGGGTGGCTCAGCCGGGTACCTCTGCCTCCTGGTCCCGTGAGGCTGGCCAGGCCTGTGGTCCTCTGGAGGCTCCGTGGTGGCGGGGCACCCACTCCAAGCTCACCTTGAGTTTTGGCAGGTTTCACCACATGGGCCTCTCTCAGGGCCACCTGATGAGTGGCAGTTGGTCTCCCCATGGTGAGGGGTCCAAAAGGAGGTGAGAGCCCGAGGCGGAAGCTACAGCTTCTTCACCCTAATAGCAGCAGTGACATGGTACCTCTGCCCAGTTCTGCTGTCAGAAGCAAGGCAGTTGGTCCCGCTGGTGCTGCAGATGGGGGCTTAGCCAGGACACGGACACCAGGAAAAGGGTTCCTGGGGGCCATTTCTGAGGCTGCTTCCTAAGGCGGCATCATATTAGTAGGCCGGCAGGCAGGGACCCGATTGTTTTGGAAAGCTGGTGCCCTGCCCGCCAGTGGCAGTGCTTTTCCAGCCCAGTTACTACCCAGGGTCGCCAGACCTGGTGGTGTAGCTCAGTGGTACGGCAAGCTTTAGGACAGCCAAGGCCCTCCAGCACTGAACAAACAAAAACAACCCCCAAAGCCCAACAACTCCACGAGGTGGGCTGGCCTGTGACCAGCAGGACACCTACGACAGAAGCCTTTCACCCAGCCAGTCAGGGTGATGCCTCTGTGCCCACGTGGGTGGGGGCAGAGAGCGGGCCGAGCACTAGGGCCACCACCTTAGTGGGCATCTCTCTGGCCCCAGGACAGCTGCTCCTGCGTGAGAAATACCAGACATGGGTGCATGGCCACCTCCAGGGCCTGCGGAGGGCCGTGTTCCAGTGCTGGCTGCAGGAGGCGGCTCGGTAGAGATGCATTCGCAGGTGGGTGGGCCGGGTGATGGGGTGATGGGAGAGGTCAGAGTCCCCAGCCCAGGGAAAGCAAGGGGGAGCCCAGGGGATGGATGCTTGGGTGCCCTGAGGCTGGGGTCTGGGAAGGGAGGGGCAGGAAGGGAGACCCCACTGTAGACGGATGGCCATGACCACCCAGCACCCCATCTGTGTGTGTGTGGAGGGGGCCAGCCGCACTCTCAGCATGGCCCTGGCCAGCCCCAGGAGTGGCCCTGCTGGCCAGGGAAGCTCAGAGCCTTCTGAGGACAGTGAAGGCAGTGGAAATGATTCCTCAGACATCCACACCACAGGGTGTTGTGAGGAGTCACAGCACGGGAACGTGCCCCAAATGGTCACTGGAAGAAGAGAGTGAAACTGTCCTTGAAAAAAAAGAACCTTGGGCCGAGGATTTAGCTCAGTGGTTTTGAAGCCTGCCTTGCAAGCACAAGTACCCAAGTTCGATTCCCGGTACCGAAAAAAGAAATTCAAATGGCCAGGACAGGAGCACGGACCCTTCCCTCACCGAGCACAAGGCTCGGGGAGCGTGGCCGTGAACCCGTAAATGGTTGGTCCTCATGGCCTCCCAAGGCAGCATCTGCTCCCTGAGCCTAGGGTTTGAAGATGGGGTCTGTGTGTGCTGAGTTCCCTGGAGGAAAGCCACCCCTTTGCCCTTAATCACTGGACAGGACGTCTTTGGTTGTTTTGATTTTTATGTTCCTTTTTTGAGACAGGGTCTCACTTTGTATCCCAGGCTGGCCTCAAACTCTCAGCTGTCCTCCTGCCTCAGCCACCTGAGTACTGGGATTACAGGCATGAGCCACCACGCCTGGGTGTTGGACAGGACGGTTTTTTTTGTTTTTTTTTTGGTACCAGGGATTGAACTCGGGACCTTGTGCTTGCAAGGCAGACACTGGAAGGACAGGACTTTTTTTTTTTTTTTGGGCCATGGACCAGACATTTTGAAGGCACAGGG